GCTGACTTCTGCCCACTCAGTGGTACCTACAGTAGTAAGTAGGGAGTGGGAAGAGAGAAAAGAAAGGACTTGAATAATCCATAAACTATATAATCATCCCATAAATAATTAAGAGGTGGTTCTGGCAGAACAACCTAGATACGTAAATACTCAAGAGATCAGCTAACCTCAGATTCTGGTTAAGATTCTCAGATTCCTGCACCCCCTCCAAACTAGCCGTGTGACCTTATGCAAATGCCGTCAGCTCTTTGGACTGCTGTTTCCCATGTGAAAAACAGAAAAGTTATAGCAGATGCTATTTAAGCACTGTCTTTTATAATTAGATGCATGTTCTGTTGGGATAGTTTTTAATACTCCTCACAACGGATTGTGCAGGCTTTTGTTCTGGTCAGGACACTCATCTAGAGGTAAAAAAACGATCTTTAAAAGACACTGCCTGTATTCCCTCAGCTGGTGGCAGCAGAAAATCACCTAAGAGGTAAAGACAGCCTGGGAGTCTGTTGCTTTAAGGCTTGCTGAGGCTTCTTTGATCGGTCATCTACCTACATTTTCCTTATATAAAATGACACACGCACGTACCCACCCTTCATCGGTGGCACTGTACTAAAATGGCAGTTACCTGTTGGGCTTGCTCTGATAACCATCATGCTTTAGCAGCACTGGGGGGTATTTCTCCTGGGGAGATGTTAAGAGTTAAAGTCAGCTGTGTTCACTCCTCTCAGGAATATATCCTGACATTTCTGATAGTCAGCTGCAGCCAGAGCCTTGCTTTATTTCTCTTCAGAAAATACAACCACTCAAAACAAAAGAATTCCTGCGAGACACCTTCATCACTGTTGAGATGATGACACTCCCCCCAGCTCGGTTACAGTCATTGAAATGAGAGGAAATTTCTTTTCGTTCCCTTGGGGAGCCACTTTGCTCCCCACCTTTGGAATGTATTCTAAATTTATAAATATCTTATGGTTGAAATTTCCTTTTCAGCAACTTAAGGATTCATATGTCACTCTCTGCTGCATCAGATAATTTTTTAAATTAAGTTTTCTAGTACAGGGCTAGAGGAAGATCTGCATTTTAAATTCAGTACAATTAAAACTGTGTCTCTTTGGTCTGGCACTGCCTTTGGTCAAACCCCATTTGTATGAATAATTATTCAGTCCATTAAGAAGTCTGCTCAACTCCTTCTCCCATTTTGAAGGTTTTAATAAATATTGATCAGGCACATTCCTGTTTGCACTTGCCAAAGCAATTCTGATGGATTCATCTTCTGATGTTATCAAATAATGAAATATGAAAGAGTGAATAGAATTACTCTCTTGTTCTGTGATTTTTTATTTAGGGCCTTCATTTTACTTTCATAATTGTGTTTGTCTCATACTTCTGTAAATGCTCTTTTGATTATCAAAAGGTGAGTACAGGTTAAGGAGAGCTATGCTGTGCTGAATATCACTTTAGAGTCTTTTCAATTTCAGAAAATAGTTTATCAAATATCACGTTAGAGAGTCTTTTTGATTTTTAAAAATGATTTATCTAATATGATAGGTTGATAAAAAGGATAAAGTATTATGCACCTTGGTGGCCCTAAAGCTACATATTATTTACCAATTAAAACAGACTCTTAACAACATATTATCTACATTTTCCAGATTAGCAATCTGGGAAACAATTACTGAGCTATGCTGAATAAAAACAATCCTAAGGCCCTGTGGATTTTTCAGTTTTAAGTAGTGAAATCACATTATTAATTTTTTAATAAATAATGCAAAGGATTTCTTCCAAGGAACACCTACTATTATTATTATTAATGCTTAGGAAATAGCAATAACATTTTAAATGCTAACATGACACAGAAAGGTAGATAAAGTCTTTAGCTTCTAGAATCTTCTTTTATTTAAATTTAAAAAATCCAAAGTCTAGAAGAAAATGTGGGAAAAAAGTAATGATATCAGCCTAGGGAAAGAGCTTCCTGAGAGGACCCGAAAGGCAATTAATTGCAGCCACAACAAAAATAAATAAATGGGACCTGATTAAGTTAAAAACTTTCTGAATATTTAAGGACACACTCAACAAAGCAAAGAGACAACCCACAGAGTGGGAGAAGATATCTGCATGCTACTCATCTAACAGAGGGTTAATAAATAGAATTTACAAAGAACTCAAGCAAATCAATAAGAAAAAACAACCCATTAAAAACTAGGAAAGAGACATGAACAGAAACTTTTTTCACGAGGACAAATGACCAAAAAACACAGGAGAAAATGCTCATTGCCCCTAATCATGGGAGAAATGCAAATCAAAACTGCTTTGAGATATCACCTAAACTATTCAGTCATAAAAAGATGAAGATTTGGTAACAACCTGGATAGAACTGGAGAACATTCTTGTAAGCAAAGTATCACAAGAATGGAAAAACAAGCATCACATATGCTTAGTAAAAAAGTGGAATTAGTAGATTAAGAAGAGAGAAAAAGTTAGTAAGGCATATTAGTACATGCTCACAAGAGAGGAAAACTCAATAAAATTTAGGTGGGAGGAGGAGTGAAGGGGGTGGGTAAATTTCCACCCAATAGGTACACTGCACACTTCCTGGGTGAAGGATGCAACTACGACTTGAACTTTAACCTAACAAAAGCAAATGATGTAACTTAATCACATGTATCCCTATAAATCTTAAATTTTTAAGGAATCTAATCCAGGGCAGATCAAAAACATTTAAGGTATGAGGCAAATGTTTTAATTTAAAATAAAACAAATTCAGGGCTTCCCAGTCTGCCTGCCCTTTCTATCTGTTCCTCTTTTTTTTTTTTTTTTTTTTTTTGAGACAGAGCCTCAAGCTGTCCCCCTGGGTAGAATGCCGTGGCATCACAGCTCACAGCAACCTCCAACTCCTGGGCTCAAGCGAGTCTCCTGCCTCCGCCTCCCAAGCAGCTGGGACCACAGGCGCCCGCCACAACGCCCGGCCATCTTTTGGTTGCAGCCATCATTGTTGTCTTGGCGGGTCCGGGCTGGGGATTCGAACCCGCCACCTTAGGTGTACGTGGCTGGCGCCTTAGCCGGTTGAGCTATAGGCGCCGAGCCTGTTCCTCTTGACATGTGAGAAAAGAGAAAAGAGTTGTCACTCTTTTCACTCTTTTCCCAGTGACAAGCGGAGTTAGTGATACGATGAAGAAATATGAAGAAATGAATGGGAAATGGGCTTTAGGTTTCTGGATTTATAATACAGGGATCTAGCTCTTCCTGTAAATGTCAGTGGACAAAAGTCAGTGGGGACCTGCATGGACTCCATGGGACAAAGGGAACGGATTGATTTAGCAGGTGCCAATTACTCCTGTTGTTTGGCTACTGTCTGTCCTCAACCAGCTATCTACCAGTTGTGCTGACACAGGGGCTGGGTGAGGTTGAATGGACAGTTCGCTGTGACCCTTATTGCAGCTGGGAGTCCTAAGACAAAGACCACTATCCAGCTCTCAGTGGGCGGAGCCACCCAAATGCTGATTCCTAACCTTTTGGTCCCAGGTGGTGACCCTGGTTCACTCTTGAAATTGTTAGATTTTTCTACTTTACAGAAACAAAAAGCCACATCTTTTAGCACTGAAGGGCCACAAAGGAAAACAATTTGGTAGAGGAACCAAAAAAGATCTGTGGATTATTTGAAAAGTGTGAGCATTATGTAAATCAGTAGGTCCCAATGGCCAACACTTGGGATGTATTAACTAAACCCTCAAGTTATTTATGAAAGAGAGAAAACCTAAATAAACCAAAGCTACAAAATGGACCACCTGAGATTCAAGGCCATGTGACTCAGAACAGATGTCAATTAGAAAAATAACAGACTAAATAGGAGGGAGCTAATGGAAATATGTACCATATCCAGCAGGGTTTAATTAAAGACCCAAAGACTCTGACAAACATGATGGATAGCTTTGGATTGCAGTGTGAACTTGGTGGATGAAAAGACCACTGTAGCTGATATATATTTGGATGTCAGTGAGCCATTTGATACAGTGCCTCTAAAAAAAAAGTATAACTAGCAAAATGAATTTATTCTGACTGGCTACCCTTGATAGGACACAGGCTGAAAAACAAAGGGTAATGATAATGGCAAATCAACAGATTCAGAAGCGAACATAGCTAGTGAATGCTGAGGACTCTGGCTTTATAACTGATCTCACTTAATACCTTCATTAACTTGCAGGAAGATACAAAGAGTGGTGAAAAGGGCAAATGTTAGAGAACGGGGAAGGGCTGTGAACAGCAACAAGAAAGAGAAATAACAGAAGGCACTCCAGAGAATTTAGAGTTATGGGAAGCAAATAACGAAAGGTGATTCATCTCAGAAAAACCCAAGTGAATTTGCCTGGAAAAAATTCTGACCTCCTATATTTAACAGTTTGGAGAAATCTTACAACAGCACTGGGTAAATGGTCCATGTCGGAGAGGGGCAGGAGGTAAGGGCCATGGAACCAGAGCCTCTAAAAGTACCTGTCATAGGGCAAGGAAGTGATGATCATCTCTTTGTTGCATTTCTTTTTGTGCTTTATGCCATAAGCCAATTGAGAGAAAATCAGAAAAAGAGTATCGAATGGGATTAAAGGGACAGAAGGTTGGAGGAAAACAGATGATTAAAAGAGATTTGGTTCAATTGTTGCTCAAATGTCAGCTTATCAATCAATGCAGTTTTCCCTGACCACCTTATTGAAAATGATACTATCCGTATCAAGATTTGTCCTTTTACTGAGTTTAATTTTTTTTTTAGCACTCATCTCCATCTATTATAAAAAATCTATTTCCAGGTGGATCCCTTAGCTCAGGGGGTAGGGCACCAGCCATGTACACTGAGGCAGGTGGGTTCGAACCCAGCCTGGGCTAGCTAAAATGAACAATGACAACTGCAACAATAAAAAAAAAAATAGGACGTGTCTTCAGCGCGATGCCCAAATCCAAACGTGATAAGAAAGTTTCCTTAACCAAAACTGCCAAGAAAGGCTTGGAACTGAAGCAGAACCTGATAGAAGAGCTTCGGAAATGTGTGGACACCTACAAGTACCTTTTTATCTTCTCTGTGGCCAACATGAGGAACAGCAAACTGAAGGACATCCGGAATGCCTGGAAGCACAGCCGGATGTTCTTTGGCAAAAACAAAGTGATGATGGTGGCCTTGGGTCGGAGCCCATCTGATGAGTACAAAGACAACCTGCATCAGGTCAGCAAGAAGTTAAGGGGTGAAGTTGGTCTCCTTTTCACCAACCGCTCGAAGGAAGAAGTAAATGAGTGGTTCACAAAATACACAGAAATGGACTATGCCCGCGCCGGTAACAAAGCCACTTTCACTGTGAGCCTGGATCCAGGGCCCCTGGAGCAGTTTCCCCACTCCATGGAGCCACAGCTGAGGCAGCTGGGCCT